TTCACATAAAGGATAAAAGATAAGCGAATTGCAAATCATTTGTTGAACAACCCAAGAATTCTCAGAAATTCAAAATTTAACTTCACCTAGAAAGCCATACAACTTGACTCGCATAGATACCCCAACAATCCAACTTGGGGGTCGGAAACGGATGTATCTTTTCCTGATTGGTGAGGAAAGGTTATGATACACAACGGTGTCTTGGTCGGTATTTCCAGCAAAAAAAAACCCGTTGATATGCGTGGGTAAGTTGCAAATGACTCTGTGATAAAAGCTCAGAGGGTAGAGAGGGTAGATTTTGGTAACCCCTTTGGTCAACCGGCATTTTTCTCTAGCATTTTTCTCTGAAAGTGCTTGTCTCATTCATCGTTGTTGATAGCCTACATTGCAGGATTGGTAGTCAGGTTTGCACCCTGTCACATTGGGCTAACACTCTATGGCTGGAGGGTATTTTAGTGTCAACAGCTTGCCTTTGGAGTAGAGAGGCCCAGTTTACATTGCAAAAACTTGGTGGCTGTATCATCTCATATAACAGGCAGTATATCGGCTACCCTCGCCGGCATCTATTTCAACACAGCATGGAGCCAGTGAACCCCAAGACCATTTTACCATCTTAAAGAAATGCAGGAGTAATCTTGACTGCCTGCCTGACATATGAAAGCGTTATATCAGACATCTTAAGCCAGTAGTCAATACTCGATCAGAGCAAAACTGTGTGTTAAAAAACACATTTTCCTTATAGTCACATGTTTTGTCACTGTAATTACTTTGCCACTTTATGCGCATAATATTATTGTAGGTCTTTTATCATGCAAACACCTAGCTGAACATTTAATTTATAATGACTTCCGACCATGACGAAACGTCTTTTATTGCATTTTATATTTTTTTGTGCTGAAAATATTCCATTAAGCCCTACTTATAAGATACAATTACCTAAAAATAAACATTCAATAATATCTACGCTCAGTAGAAAAGCCAGAAATAAATTCAGTGGAAGAAAAATTAATTAAATGATACAGTGAAACATCTCTGCACTCAGAGATGATCTTTTGATTTCTTTTCCCAATCACACGCCGAAGGATTTATCATTACTAACAAAAGGTAAGTTAAGTCATTCTCCTCTTTCAAATAATCAGCCTCCATGCACTCTGTTCGTCGAGTGAGAACAGTTAGTCGTTTTTCAACTTTTAACATTCGTTCCTCTGTACATTGAATAATACTTTCAGAATTCAAACAAAATGGCTCTGCTTCAGAAAGACACATGTTGACGAATATTGTCTCATCACAAAACAACTTAAACTCAGTCCGATTACTTCCCTCGTGGAAAATGTCCATTAAACGCTCCTCAATAAAGCGTGCCATTTCAAGCTCTTTTGCATTTTCTTCTGCGTTTGATTTTGCGTCACCGTATGATTCGTTGAGGACAGAAACAAGCATATTCATAAGAAATATAGTTGTGGACATACAAAACAAAAATGCAAACGTCGGACCAATGAAAGGTTTGTCCCTTCGAAGAGCGTCTATTGGGACTGCTTTTCCTAACAGGAATTCGAATTGAGACATGACTGCATCGAGATAACTGGAATATTCTAATACTACACCACCGAAAAACTGCATACCTGTTACAACAAATGCATTAAACACGATCAGAAAAAAGAGCACATACGAGAGTTGATAGCCTATAGATTGCCGAAAAGATGAAAACAAGTATATTACGTGCGGGTTAAAACGAATCAGATTCAGAAGCTTGACTGTCACCAAGAAAACAGCCACAGCAATAGACGCATTTTCCAGGTTAAGCCAAATCAAGGCTGTGTGGAAATGCACGATTCCATATGGATTGGCTTGAATGGATTTGATAGTGTTCAAAACGCTTTTAGCTCTGATCGTGTAAAATGCTACAGAGGCTACAGAGAAAATAATCATAAAGAAATCCACCATGTTCCAAACAGACCTGAAGAAACCTAAGCGTTGTTGATAAAGGTGAATTAACATAACTACGAAATAAAAGAGAACCATCGCCATGAACAGAAACTGGCCAATTAAGAAAAACATCAGAGCTCCTGACTCAGTGCTGTACAACTCCAGTGTTTCAATTCTCCTTGTAGTGTAGGCTGCACCAGTAGCTATGGCCTCGTAAAAGTATGTGGCAACGCTAATCAAGTTTGTATTGATATTAAAAACAGCAAACTCTAGAATTACAGCTCGAGTTTGGCGATCAAGCCATCCGTTAGTAATAGTCTCGTCGAGGACGCCGTGTGCAGTGCTTTCATCGTATCCCAGGACTGCTGCATAACCACCCCCTTCATAAGAGTTGTACGACGCTAGAATAGGGTCGTTGCGAAGTTCTGCTGCTGATTGATATCGCCAGGGCCTGGGGCAAATTTGGAGAGCATCAGGCCACGAAGTATTGAGAGAGAGAGGTATCCAACCTGGAAGGCTTAGAAAAGTCGTGTCCTCATTTTCTGGAGAATAGTCGTAATAACAATCTGCTATCATTTTCGAGAGCGATCTACAGGAATCTTCAAGTGAAAATAAAAGAAAAGTGAATAAGTTACTTTAAGATTTGAAGTTTTGATAAAAGATGATAAAGTGAAACAGAGAAAAAGGAAAAATGCTGAGAAAAAAAAGCACGCCGGTGAAGTTTCTCGATATCGAGTTGACGGTTGTTGTTCTAAAATTGCTTTTGAGTCAAGTCATAAGTAGTGAGTGTATGTTCTTTTCATGCCCCTACTTCATTTCATAGCGCCTCTAGTATTATAATTTGCTGTGTTAGTCACCAGCCTTTTGATTTCCAGATCACTAGACATGCACTAACTAGTTATCGGAATTGATTAAGTCACTATGACATTTTCCTATTTCAACTGTGTAAAAGAATTGAAACGCACTTTTCAATTGCAGATTAGAGATTTTTTGTACAAAGTTTGAGGCTCCCTTGTGTACATCGTTACTATGAAAATAGTCTTTTGCGATAACCTGTCTGTTTATAAAAATGATATATTCTGATCTAAGTTTACCTTTTTTAATTCTGAGTTGTCGCAACCAGGGCATTCCCACTAATATCGACATCTTGTTCCCGACGTACACATCGTTTTTCTCTTCGAGTCGGTTGTACCACGCCTGGTTATAAATGTTTGATATGAATTCATTCTTTAACCATGCCTCTAAACTGTGCGCATCCTTTACCTAGAATAAAGAATTAGATCTTATAAAATAAATACATTAAGATTCAAGGAACCGATAAGAGGACAGAATGTGCAACTCGCATGATTATTAAACAAACGAACAGGTAGAGATAAAGCAATAAATGAAAAGACTGGAACAAAGTGAGAGGGGAAAGAGACTCACTGCCAATCTTAAATGCAAGTCGCAAACAATGAATAACAAAGTAATAACTGAGGAATTCGGAAACTTCCTCAGCACTTAAAAGCAAACGTTAATCTGAAATCCATAGTAACATGGCTACTACTTTTTTTTAAAAAGGTAAAACTCATTATATCATTTTAATTTTCCAGAAAACTGCTCCGGTACAGATATATGTGTCTTTAATTACCCTTCTCACTTGCCATCGTTAGGTAGGGTATTGCGACCGACTTTGATAGCTATTTCTCTGTTAAACATCCACGAGTCTGTAATCTTTCATTGATATAAGGATCGATTACCAGGAGAAATAGCTTTTGAATACTGCGAAATATTTCACAACTGCGGACAAAAAGCATTTTTATTCATCAGGAACCATAATCTTACCAGATTAAACTTAGTGAATCGATTTCTCATCTCAGTTGTCATCAGAAAACGGTTTCCATTCTTGTTTCCATAAGATACGATAGCCAGAAGAAACACAAATATTAAATGCAGAATAATGTCTCTTGTCATCCTTGTTAACTGAGCTTCTTTTTTAGATCTCTCCCTCATCTTTTCCCGCTGATATTTCTTAAAGCACTGTTTGGGATCATCGCCCGAGAAATCGATCTCAATCGCGTGTGAATCGATAGCAGTCTCTTCTTCTTCTTCGCATTTGCCTCTGTTCTTTCTTGTCAGGAGAAAGGAAATAACCATGACTGCTATCATAACCTTGGTGGGCTGTACAACGAAAATATCTTGTCCATTGGAAATTAGAATAGAGGCAAGCCACTGTTCAGAGGTTTCCTTTCCCCACATTAAACTGTAAAACAGCGTAAACGTTGCTGCTGCTATTGTCGTACAGAAGCAGAGAAACCAGCCCAAATAAACAAAGAAATGAGGAAGCATACAACCGGTGTCCGTTATTTCATCCAAAAGTCGTTGGGCCTCGTCTGTAACTTTGTATTTGTCACTCCCTTTTTTCCTCGGGCTGCTAGACTTAAACAGGAAGGCAATCATTAAGTTTATCGGTGCAATGATAATGCCACTTTGTACTCCGATGACTATCTGTCTCCAAGAAAACTTAAAAGGCCCAACCTGTATAGTACCATCGGATTGACCACCAATGTTATAGAACATGGCATTTGCTATCATTGCACTAAACAGAACTGAAAGGCAACATGAAGCTCTTTGCACACGTGTAAAGGTACTACTACATGCTTTTCCAAACACTGAGAACCACAAGTGACTGTCGGCAGCTTTTCTGGCAAAGCACGAACGAACCTGATCCGAGAAGGCAGAGTAAGATTTGCTGTCCACGGTAACTTCTATTTGGCCGTCGTCTTTTTCCAACGCAAGCCACCTATTTATAGGGAAAACCCACCTTTCTTCGGTCTGACGGTCTTGGATAACTACGCTTTCTACAAACCAAGACGGATTATCACCCGAATTATCGTGTTCCAAAATAATTTCTTTTAAAGGGCCAATGGGTTCTTTCATTACGAGCACAAAGCCGTTGATACTCCCACGTTCGAAAAGCTCGCTCCACT